GCCATCTGCGCTACATGCATTCGTGCCTCCTGGTGGTCCCCACACATTCAAACCCAAATTGATGGGTCGTTCCGCTCGTCGCGGATGCGGTCCGATCCCGCGAAAACGGCCTTGAGATATTCTTATTGCTCTGACCTAAAGAATTTCAAAATAAAAATAATACTAATAATAAAAAAGAAAAATCATTTGACCTGACCGGCCCCAGGGAATTCAGAATAATTTCATTCTAATCATCTCTGTTGCATCTGGATTCGAACATGAGACTGCATCTTAACAATTTTGATGCGTGTACAAATTGAGTCTTAGAGGTTCGCCACACACGTTGTCGAAAACCCTGTTTTCGACAATTTTGCATCGCCACACAGACTTTCGAAGAATTGCGGCTCAGAAAACTTTCGACAAGTGTCAGAATGGTCCTTTCGACAMCCGCCCTCCAGCAACGGTTTCCTCCCGCCTGCAGGTGAAAAAAATTCGTCAGTGTCCGCCGGGCTTTCGAAAATTGCGTTCGAATTTGCGTTGTCAGGGAATGCTCCCTGACAGCCGTGACCTGTTTGTCGGTATGTAGTCAACAATTGCTGTTGAAAACGACGTCGGCATCTGGTCCCATCCGCGCACAAATTCATCCATTGAAGATTTCCTCAAGTGAATAAGAGAAAGATTTGAGAACAAGAACTTCGCAAGGCGCACAAAAATGTTGATCCTCAGCCTCTTCGATAGGAAATGGAAGAGTACTTCTGCATTAAAGGCAACTATGGATGAGTTATTACAATGCCCTGATCATGGATTGATGCCAACCCAAATCTTAAACAGTTTTGCACGAGCACTTCCGGACCCCCTGAGAACCCAACTCTCTCCCCGAACCAAAGAAGAGGGGATGACATACGAGAAGTTCGGCAAGATCGCAATCGATCACGCCGGCTTCCTCGCCGAAGCAAACTATTGTCATTACTGGAAAGATCTGCAAGCGGGTAAAAGATGGCAAAACCGCACTATCTCAAGGTCTATACCTGGGAAGTACAGTCTCCTTTTAACCTTTGAGGAAGGAGGCGCCGAGACCATCTCCTGGGATCGGGTAGACTATGGTCTCGATGAACCCAACAAACGTGTAGCTTAGGAGGGGAGTTACGCGGCTGTTGCAGCCCACGGGGGAGGGCGTCAAGGAAGGGGACGTTGTCAGGCGGCCACCAGCAGTACGCCGCCTGAAATCTACGGTCTTGGGACTTAGGCTCAAGGGCAAGTCCGTCTTTTGACGGTACTCTGGTTAGACCGGGCGGCAGAAATTAGGGGAACTCAGGGTACCCCTGATTCTGGGCACACAGAACCTTACGAGTAACCCTCAGAGATAGCGAGATGGGTGGGCGCACTCGGCGTAACTAGAGACCGTCATCTCCGGCCGTTCAGAAGGCTGGAGCCTGATTGGCCTGCCGCGAGGAGGCATCGCGGGAACGTACCTCGCCGCGACGCTTTTGCAGCATACGACCGGGGCCGAAATGAGGCCTCAAATTTTTGTCTATTTTAGTACCATAATTAAAGACGGGGAAAAGGGATTAAGACCTGTAGGGGAGAAGGAAAAAACATAATATCCCTTAATTTTTTTATTTTTCACGGCATTTAATTCAAAGGGGAATACCCTTGTTATTTTATGTTTCCGGCAATGAAATTAAAAACATAGAAAAAGATTAAAAATGGTAAAAGAGAAAAGAAACAAAAGGAATTCGGCCATTTATTTAAACTTTCTCGGAATTTAATTTTTGGAAACTTACAGTCAATTTACTATTTTCGACAATAGAATTAACGAAAGGGAAGAATGATGAAAAACGATGAAAGGGACGGGAACCCATGACTATTGGGAGATTGGCCTTATTTCACCTCGATTACCCGCCATCAGCTCTGACCCCGGATTTTAACAAGTTAACACTTCTGCCGATGGTCGAGGTTCCCTGCGACGCTTTCCCTGGTATGCTTGATTACTAATATTACCGCAGTTGAGATGTTCAGAGAGCGGGAGTCGCATGGACAACATGGGGTGATGCTACCCTGGGACGGCAGTATGGTGTTGGTTCGGTACGGACACAGGGGTTGTTACGGAGTGGCTACGACCAACGGTGTCTGACGCGCTTCAGGTACGGCATGGACCCGGTGACAGCAGATTCACTACGGTGACTTATTTTTAGGTTTGGGACAACTGCGGTGATTTATTCTAAGGGCTGGGACCACTACGACAGTTTATTTCAGGTTTTGAACCAATCACGGTCCGGAACCGCTGCGCTGCCATATTTCAGGATCGACACCGGTTTGGCACATCTCACGATAGCATTTTCAGGTACGACAACACTACGGAGACTTATTTCAGGTACGGGACCTTGATGGCGGTTATTCCTGAATCGGAGCCATCACGGGTACTTATTTCACGTTCGGCGCTACCACGGCAGTTTGTATCAGGGTTGAGGCCATTACAGAGACACATTGCGGGCACTGTAGAGATTCATTTCCAAGGCCGGAACCGGCACGGCAGTTGTTTCGGGTTCAACATCAGTTTATTTCGGACTCGCTCCTACCGTGATACCTCGTTTCAGCTTCGGTGCTGTTACCGTGACTTACACTCAGGGTTGGGACACTGCGGCGATTTATTACCTGGCCGCGACCACTACAACAGTTTATGACAGGGTTGAAACTTTAACATCTTGGCTGCACGGTCCTGTGATAGCATGGAACAGTGGCCCAACTCTGCACTTCAGGTTCGGACAGACTCGCCGCCGGTGCGGTGCAGGCTATTCAGGTTCGGGGTAGTATGGCACGATACTCGCCCCTGAATTGGTACTATGTGGCAGCAAGTCTGTGACCCTCTAGTTCGAAAAGCTGTCCTGGATGATTGTTTGAGTCCAACATCGGTACGCCTTGCTACAGCTTCAAGTGATTATTTTCGCCCGAGGGCTACGGTCCCGGAACCAGTGGAATCGGCTGCTGCAGTGGGGATAGACATTCAGGCGCGACTGACCAGCGGATTAACTGAGAACTGGCCCGGTTGCGACGCGCCTGGGCCTTAAGGGCCTTGGTAACACCCTTTTGTTGGCTCGAGGGCGGTGCTCACGAACCACCTGCATTGAGCCTTTGTTGAGCCGGGTACCGATGGTCTCGGCTGTATGAGCAGATGTCGAATGAATATAGGGGCGGACGGAGGAGAAAAGGGGACAGTGTCCAAGGCGTACCCGTGTGACCGGGCTCGAGGTGGAAACTTCGATGCGCATACAGTTGCACGGCAGAGGAGGGGAGGGGACTTCGGGATCGCATGCCAGGCGTACCCGGCGTTCAGCTGTTGCGGAGTGCAAGCGAGCTCAGGGTGGAGACATCGGGGGCAGACGGTTACACCGGGAGAGAGGGGAGAGCGGGGCGCGAACAAGTTGTTCCCGCGACTGCAAGCACGGGGCAGACGCGCGGACGCTCAGGCGGTTACTCTGCGTGCGCGAGGGGAGTGGGAAACCGCGAGGCGGTTGAGCACGCGGGGGTTGTTGATCACATGGGCGAGATGGTGGGGGACAGTGTGCAAGAAGTACCCGCCCACTAACTCGACTTGAAGCGGGCGAGGGACAACCGGGGAGCGTCAACCCAGCCCGTTTCGCTGATGAGGAACGGAGCGCCAGGTGTTCGTGGCAGATTGGAGGACAAGGAGGAGATCGTCCTAGTGCGCGAGGCGTGGGCAGTGCTTGATCATGGTCAGATGCCTGGTACGGAGAACGGGGCAGTA